CTTTCGATAAAGATGATAGCTGTCTGTTCTCGTATCAAGCTCTGTCAGATTATGGACTCACATATGGGTTACTACAACTACATCTCAAAATATACGAGCATGTCTAACCCAATCCATAAACTACAAAGATGTGCATGCAACGTTACCTATTAATTCAAATTGTTGAATGTTCCACTACATATCCTCTCGTGACCTTCGCATATCCGATATTCATTAGAGGTTGCTATGCAAAAAAGTTTGAAGTCAGTTTCCAATAACTTACTTTCTCATTTGTCAAAATTCAGGTATGGGAACTCATTGATCTACTGCTACCAAATGTCACAGAAGACTGTCCACCTCTTCACGATACCATGTGGTATTCCATTGACACACCACTTACGGAACTTCAGTTGATTTACTTTGCGGGTGAACATGATTTGGTGAAACTCGAACACAAGCAATCCTATGTGCTCGTAGGATTGACCGGAGGCATTGCCGTAATCGCCCTTGCTATTAGCATTTTTTGGGGTTTGAACGGTTCTGCGTTCACCAGCTAGCTTCTTTATCACTTGTTGTGAGCTTATACTCTCTGTTTGTACTCAACTACTGTTAAGTTTGCATTAACTTTTAAGGTACTTCTCGATCTCCATTTTATCTGGCTGCTCATTAGTTTGTTGGTTTATTCTCACTTTTCAAGTGCTCAAATAAGTAATGAATACTGCAAAGACTGCAGGAATAAAACATGCCACAGTACCAGCATGATGATTTTGGGTACTCCTCGTTATTATCACTTTCATTTGTATCAACTATTACCTTCTTTCAATTCATTAGAGTCCTTGCCAAAATTTTTCGCACTGACCAAGTGATATAGTTGGAATATGTTCCTCGGTATCAACAGTACAATAAAAAGAGCAAAATAAACATGATGTAAAATGCTTACAACAATCTAATTTTCTGAACCTTGCTTTGAACATAATTGCGAGTATTAGGAATTATCCAAACAGACAAAAATATCAGTGCTCTTTTGTCCATGATTTGACCAAACTTTCTTTATTTCATAACATATAGATATTTTACTTACAAACAACCCCGTCAGATAAATCGCAGCAATTATTCAACAACAAAAAACTTATACACTATTGCATATGTGCACAAACAA